AATGAGTGCCTTGCTGACAGAGTCCCCTGAGAGCTCAGCGTGTGTTTGGTCCCCGGGGAAGCCTGGAGAGGAGCAGATCTTTCTGCTGCAGGGAAAGGTTCTGCTCAGGGTTGTGGTTCTTTGGTCAAAGACCTTGAGATCCAAATACCCAGGTGGCCCTGGCTGCCTTGGTGTCCGTGGGGCTACTCAGCCCCAGTGTACCTGGGAGATGGGCAGCGAGAGCCCTGAGCTGGAGGGGGCGGGTGGTGGCTCGTTCCAGGAGCAGGGACTGCTTCAGGACACTCGATGTGATGCTTCCTGATGAAAAATAGATATGTAAGAGTGAGTGGCTGCCTAATGTAGTATTTAATCAGCTTTTTGTAGGGGAGAGATGGGTTTTGTTAAACTTTTTTCAGAAGTTTGAGGTTTGGGTTTTGACAGAACTGTGTGTGGGCCTCAGAGGCAATGGAGGCTCAGTGGTCAGGTCTGTGATGGTGCCTACTAACAGAGGACGGTTCTGTGTTTCTCTCCTGTCCCCCAGGTTGGGATTGACTTCACAGCTTCCAATGGGAACCCACAAGAACCCTCCTCTTTGCACTACATCAACCCCCTGGGGACGAACGAGTACCTGTCGGCTATCTGGGCTGTCGGCCAGATCATCCAGGACTATGACTCGTAAGCACCGTGCCCTCCTGCCTCCCACCCCTGTTTTGGGGATGTTTCCCTGGCTCCCCGAGGGGCTGCTGGGATGCATCTGCCTTGACCTCCCATCTGCAAAGCCAGGGCTAAATAATACTTTAAAAGTATTATCTGCCTTACACGTTGGGATGCAGGAGAGGGTCGGGACAGGCTTTCTCCTCTCCCCAGTGCCTCGGTGGAGAGGAAGGAGCATTAGCAGAGGTGGAGCATCCTCTACTGGGAGCAGCTGGCAGATGCCCTCAGTTCACTTGTGTTTACCATCAGAGCTGTGGCCCCAGGCTGCCTCGTTCCTCAGGCACCCTGAGGGGTGGAGAAAATATCAGGAAAACATAATCTCAGACATCAGTAGAGAAAACAAAACAGAAATCTGTTCCTCTTGCTGCGATGGCTTTTTGTGTCCAAAATGGATAGTTGATTTTTAAAAATCCTCCAGGGTTACAAAACTACAAAAGACTTGGGTGTTTGGGCAAGAGAATGCTCCTGATCCCTGTGGGAAACAGAGCAAAGCTGGACTCTTTTTTTTTCTCTGAAGATCAAAAGCCAATGGGGAATATCTTTTCTCTCTGTTCAGCTCCCATGATTTTTAAAGGCACTGTATGTTTTGGGAGAAGCTGTGCAAGCCTGCTCCATGTGTGTCAATAGAGCCATATGTTTTCCTCCTTCTCTCTAGAGACAAGATGTTTCCTGCTCTGGGATTCGGTGCCCAACTCCCGCCGGACTGGAAGGTAAAATGTTGTGGCCACCTGTGTGTTTGGGGTGGGATTGTCTTTACATTGCCTGGGCAGGAGCTGCTGGGATTTGGCTGTTGGGCAGAGGGAGAATGGGTGGATGTGGGATCTCAGCCAGAGAGGGGTGAGATGTGGTGGTGTGGGTGGGCAGCAAGGCAAGGATGGGGCACGGGCAGCCGGGTCCTCCCTCCTGTGCTGGCATGAAAGCAGCAGCTCCCTGGCATTAACGGGCAGAGCCAGGCGTTGATTCATTTTCCTGGCAGGAGGCAGGAACAGTTCTGGGGAAGGGAAAAGGCCCCTGGATGAATGTGTCAGACGGCAGCAGAGTCTGGGAGGGGGGTTGGGAGCCGGGGAGCCTCGATGAGATGTTGCACAGGCAGAGCCTGCAAGGACTGGAGCAGAGAAGCTTTCCCAAAATTCCACCCCGATCTCTGGTTGGGATTAGATGCTGGAGAGGTTGGTTAAAGGCACCCTGGTCCTGCAGGGGCTGAGCTGAGCCTTCTGCTCATCCAGAGGGCAGGGTATAGAGCTGCTCCCACAGCCTGGCTGCCGGATGGGGAACATCTTCTCACGGCCGAGACAATGTGCCAGGACACCACCATCGTTAATTACTGCCTGGGCCTTTTGGCTGCTCGTTGCTCACGCCCTTCGTGTGCTTTTTCTTTCTGCTCGCTGGTTTTGAGGCGTTCCCAGCTTCAGGCTGGGGTTGAATCTCAGTGAGCCCTTTGTGTTCCCTGGGAGGGGAGCTGTTCCCTGGACTGAGCGCAGCGGGGCACGTAAGTCACGAGCAGCTGGGAACGGGGCTGGGAAGCTCATCCCTGCCAGCCCCTGTGGCTGGGGATGTCCTGCCCGCTCCGGCTTTGTGCTTTTCTCTGCCCTCCCGGCAGCCAAAATTCATGTGACTCAAGCGGGAGCTCTCGCTGTTTGCCAACCACAGGAGGAGATCCCTCCGTGTGCACTTTGGAGCTGATTCATCCTCCTTGGCCAGCAAATGTCTCCGGTCTGTCACTTCACCGCTTTTGGTGGGAAAATCTAGGTAGGCAGCTTCTGAGGTCCCAAGAGCCAGCTGCTGCCAGGGATTTATTACTTGAGGAGAAGAATAGGAATGGAAAATGCAGGGGGGATGGAAAGGGTACAGCAGCTGGGGCTGCTGGGGAGTGGAGGAATTGTCATGGCAAGCATCCTGTTCTGCTGTCCATGTGTGCAGGGCAGTGCCCGTGGGAAGGGCATTGCTGGGCTGGAAAGGGCCCTTCCAGCAAGGCTGGAGGCCAGTACTGGGTTCAGGATGCTGGCTGGGGGCTGGGGCCCTGTGGCTGCCTCCTGCAACTTCCCATGGGCCTGTAGATACTCTGCAAATCTTACTGGAAAAAACACCTTTGTTTTCCCCTGGAATGATGTTTAAACCCCAGTGGGGAGCAGCTTCTCCCTCCCAGCGTGGCTAAAGGTCACCCACCCCAACACCGAGAGCTTCCCCTCAGTTGTGTCACGTCAGCAGTGGGGCCATCCCCAGTGCATCACCCCACACCACCCCAGCCTGGGCCTTCATCCCTCCCCCAGCCCTGCTCACTCATTAAAGACTTTTTGGCCACAATTTCGAAGTGAAAGCAGGAGTTATCCATGAACACCCGTGCCCTGTGTGAGGGCGGGCGGACAGCAGGGACACCCAGGCCCGAGCGAAGATTGTCAGGAGACAGGAGCGGTGGTAGAGGGTTGCTTTGTGCTCCTTGTTGCCATGGCTCCCCCAACGCTTCCCAGGCGCCCGTCGGAGCGAGGTGTTTTGCACACAAAAGTCTCGTTGGAAATGTCAGGGAACATCTTGCCGTGTAACAGCTCTGCGGAGAGCCTCGAGTGGCTTCCCAGGAGGGAACAGGAGAGGGGAGCAGATGGGTCGTGGTTTCTGGGGGATGAGTAAAGGCAAGGCGGCAGTGGAGAGGGGGATGCTTCGTGTGGGAGCCCCACCGGTCAGCTGGGTTTGGGGGATGGGGTCAGCCACAGGAAGCTGGGGGGCTCCACTGATGTGCAACCCCCCAGGCTTTCCACCCTTTTGCCTTTATTATATATATATTGGGAAACTGAGTCACAGCAAGAGTGTGATTCCTTGGGGAGATGGCAGAGAACCCTCTGTGGGGTTGGTTTTATTACCCTTTGGGGTGGTTTGAAAGAGTTTCTCCCTGCGAGTGTGATACCTGGAGGTGTTCCATGTACACATAACTGGACTCTGCAGAAACTGTTTTCAAAGTAAGAGCTGAATAGGAAATAAGATCCCTTTTTATTTTTTTTTCCATTTTGTTATTTTGAAGCCCCCTTGTCGATTTTTTTTTTTTTTTAGCGAATATAAATATATATATGCCATAAAAACTCCAGAGGAGGTTTTTCAACACTTGTGCACGTAGGGGGTCTGCTCTGTAGACAGTGAGGAATACAGCTTCAAACCATTTGCTTAAAAGAAAGAGAAACTCCTCTTTTGCCATGCACACACATGGAAATATTTCTGCCTGCCTTGTCTATAAATACTCGTGCGGCAGAATTTTGAACATTTTGCAAAGAAAAAAAAAAAAAGGAAGCGAGCCCGTTACAACTGCAAATCAATTGAATTGGAGTGTATTGCCCAAAATTGAGGCTTCTACGAGAAAAGGTGTATGCAAAGCACAGTCAGGCACCTCAGACTGCCTCCAGCCTGGTGCCTGTGGGCGTCACTGGTTCGTGCTCAACGGGAACGGAGAGACCTGAGCAGTTCGCCGGTCCGGCGGCACAGCGGCTTCGCAGCACGGGGAAGGGCTTCTGGTCGGCTTTACTTTTGTTTGGTTGCAGTTTCCCACCCCTCACAGCCCTCTTGCAAAAATAGCTTCTGCTGCTTTCGACACAATGCCCGGTGTAATTTGGAAAGTCTGAATCAGGCTGGCACGCGCGTCGGGTTTGCGGCCCCGGGAGGACTTTTGCTTCAGCCGGCGCTTCAGAGGGCAGTCGTCGTGCCAGCGTTGTGACCACGCGTGTCCCGGAGCGATTCCCATGCTGAAAAGCTCAGAAAACCTCCACCCTTCCAAGAGGGAGACAATATCCTTGTTTTGTAACTCTGGCACCAACAGGGTGGGAGCTTTTTGTCCCGGAGCCCCTCAAGCTGGCGGCCTGGAAGCTCAAATCATCACCTTTGGTGCTCAAAACATCAGGCCTAAACCAGCAGTTCCCTGACAGTGAATGGCCTGCACTGCTCTGGCCATCCAAGTTAATTTGGGTCTTTTCTTCTCCTCAGGTGTCCCATGAGTTTGCCATTAACTTCAATCCCAGGAACCCGTTCTGTTCAGGTGAGCATCTACCAGGTCTGTAGGACTCCTTAGATGCCTTCAGTGCCTTCTGTCCTTCCTCTGCATTTCTTCATTAGCATCTTTATCCCTGAAAGTGTTCGAGGCTGGGTTGCATGGGGCCCTGAGCAACCTGATCTAGTGGGTGGCATCACTGCCTGGGGCAGAGTGGTTGGAACCAGAGGATCTCTGACCATTTCCACGATTCTGTGATTTTGGGGGATGTTTCAAGGTCTGCTCAGAGACAGACATGAACAGCAAAGCAGAGCACAAACTAATGGCACACTCAGAGGAAAGCAGAGAAAATTTGGGGGGGGTGTGTAGGAAGGCCCAGGGTAAAATGCAACTGGATTCAGACGGTGTAAAATCCGCCTGCGCTCCGATGTCTGGTGTGTCCTACCAGCCGTCTGCTCCTCCAGCAAGGCTGCAAGAAACACAGGGCCTGTTTAGCAGATGGGGAATTCAGACTCAGCACTTCATTTAAGCAGCTGAGAGCTGCTCACTGTGGTGGCTGAAGGACTGCTCAAATCCTGGGTGAGAAGGGCTGCCGTGGACCCCAAAAGTCGTCTTGCCCCAGCAAGATGGGCCTCCAAACCTTGCTGGGTGGTTCATGAAAGCTGTCTGTGAATGTCTGCTTTTCTGTTGCCTCTGCTTCATTCAGTCCCTCTCCAGCAGCTACAAAGCATCCAGCTGGATCTGATGTATTGCAGGCATTATGGGGTGCAGAAGCCACCATCCTGCAGCTCTTATTAGTGACAGGTCCTTCCCAAACCACTGGTGATCAGCTGATTAATTGTGGAATTGGTCATTTTTGGATCACACCCCCATACATCCTTCTGGGAGACCAGCCGTCTACCCTGTTCTGCTGTGACAGAAGTTTGGGAATTCATAGGGTGCTTCTAGGATTGTTTTGTTTCTCTCTGTTGTTTTAGGGATTTTTTTATGTCTGTTTTTTGGGATTTTTTTGGTTATGTTCACGGACCAGGAGTTGCTTTTCTTTTTGCTCCTCCTCTTTGGTTGATTCTGAGATTTTTTTTAAGAATCCAAGGAATGCTTTCATTGACTGTGGGCACTACAAGGGCTCCCCTATCCCAGGAGGTCTGAGAACCCACCACAAAATGACTAAAGTGGAGCTGCATGAGTTGATGGCGGGGGGGACTGAGCAGGGGAGAAGGAGGGAAATAGATCCAAGTTCAGCACGAGATAATGATTCCTTGCTGTGGTGCTGTGATGGATGCATTGTAATGCCTGGCTCCTCTGCTTTCCCTGCAGGTGTGGAGGGCATTGTCCAAGCGTACTCGGCCTGCCTGCCCCACATCCGCTTCTACGGACCCACCAACTTCTCCCCCATCATCAACCACGTGGCCCGATTCGCAGCTCAAGCCACCCAGCAGGAAACTGCATCCGTAAGTCCGTAAGATTCCAGGGTGGGCTGGGAATCCTGACGGCTTTGGGCAGGGGGAATGCAAAGCCTGGGCTGGATTTCACATCTTCCCCTCCACCGTGGGCTGCAGCCGTGGGGTCCAGTGGTGACCGGGGTGTCCTCTCAGGGGTGTGAGGAGCATCTGAAGTCTGCAAGACGGAGCTCCCTTGGGCCCCTGAGGCAGCAGCCTGCCCAGGGAGGATGGCAGATCTGACCCCTGGGTTTTGCTGGCCAAAACTGCTCAGCGTGGCCATCAGCACGTACGTGGGAAGAGATGTTGGGGTCGAAGCGTCCCTGATCCCTACCTGGAGCAAAGCAGGATCACACCCAAAGCCTCTTCCCCAGGGGGGACCTTTCCTAGGCTTGCTGTCAGTGCTGTTGCTCTTCCCAGGTCCAGGCACAAGGAAATACTGAATTTGGTTCAATTCTGCACAAATCCAGGTCGCTCCTCATTTTTTCGATTTCCCCTCTCGCTGGCAGTGGGGGAGGGAGAGCCCACGGGCTCTGCACTGAGCAGAGGCGCTAATCATATGCAAATTGCACCCCTCTACTGGCACTAATAGTTTAATCAAGGGAGATTTTAAATAATGGGCACTAATAGTGCAGTCAGAGGCAAGGCTGGCTTAGCTCAGGCTTTTTTTTCTTTTTTTTTTTGGCAGCACAAAGCGTTATTAATGAGGGATCTCGCTGCCTCGGGATCTTCTCTTCCATCCCATGTTTGACTGGTGGCATCAAAGCCACCCCTGCTACCGACACCTCTGGTGGCTGCCTGGGCCTGCCCTCCTCTTGCTCCCAACATTTCAAACAAAACCAAAAAAAAAAACCTTGTAGTTTTCCCATGGCAACAAAGATCACAAACACCAGAGTGCTCGGCTCTTAAGGGATGGGAGACTAAAATGTGTCGGGGCTGGGGGAGGAACAGAGGGATTACACGATTTGACTCCTGGGGAAGGATTAATAAGCTTTGGGGAATTAAAACACACCTTTCCAGCAGGGTCCTTGCATCAAACCCGCCCCTTTTCTCACTTCATGCTGTTCGGTGCTGCCTAATCCCTTCAAGTCCTGCTCACCCGCCTGAGCCTAATTGCTGATATCGTTAGCAAATGATCAGGAATCATCCCCAGAGCCCACGTGGATTCAGGGATCGGCCATTTTAACCACAGAAAGAGGGGAGAGGAGGAAGGTGGTGCCAGGCTGGTGTGCCAATGGGCACCCCAGCTTGGCAGGACTCAGTTGTGGGGTCACCCTGTGCTCCAACAGCTCCGGCTGTGGCTCGGCAGAGGTGCCACCCTGGCTGGGTGCTGCGAGCCCAGAGGTGCCACTTACTGACACCACCAAAACTGCCGTCCCTCCTCAGGGAATCTCCCCCCAAAGCTCTCCTGCTGCATCTCTGATGCTCATCACCCCAACACAGCCCCCGGGCTTTGAGGCTGATCCACAGCAGCAGCTCTTACTCCATTTGACCTCTGAAACGTGTTGTGATAAACATTTGATGAGCTCTGCCCTCCCCCTCCTGCCCCTTTTCCTGCATACTTTCCAGCATTTTTCTCTGATCCTGTTAAGGATTTCACAGAGAAGAAAAAAAAAAAAAAAAGGGGAACAAAGGAAAATAGCTCTTCCTATATTTCTGGTACAGAGGCAAGGGGAGGAAGGGGAGAATCAAAGTCTTCCTCATTATCAGCTGCTCCCCTCCAGGTTTTACTCTTCCTCACGTGCTGGTTCCCAGACAGAGTCAGGTCCCAGTCCTTCTTCCAAGTGCAGGTCCTCTCCTGAAGTTTAGTCTGGTCCTCCAGATTTTGGGGTCCCGCTCTTCAGACCTACCTTTTGCTCTGAAAAGTTCAGATTTAGGGGAAAATGAAACCCTGGGCAGTGCTCTGCAGGCAGAGTTAAGGCATCAAAAGGGGCTGGGGTGGGGAAGGGGCTGACTGCTGCCCTGGCTTGGGAAAAACTCCTCACCCATGTCCTGGGGTTGTGATTAAGATTGACCCAGCCTTGTCTGTACTTGGAATTTAGCACTGGAGAGCATCAGGAGGAAACGAAGCTTAGGCAAGGTCTGAGGAGATGTGGGCTGGAGGAAGACCAAAAAAACAGGCTTAGGGCAGTGCTCCCTTTTTTGCTTTTCCAGGATGGCTGTGCTAGTGGTTTTCAGAGGAAATGGAAAGAATGGGGAGAGGAACAAAGGGCTTTAATGTGCTTAAGTGCTTGTTTTCGTCATTCCTCCAGCACACGCAGGCTGTGTAATGTGCCAAAATTGAGCCATTACTTTCCCTGGAGACGGAGGAGATGGGAATTTTGGGGGTCCACACGCTCCACATTTGCTGAGCTGAGTCCAGCAGGATGGTCCATCCTTCCCCAGCTCTGCAGGACTGGCCCTGGTGCCCTCCTTTTCCCAAGGGAAGGGGAGTGGGTTCCGATGCTGCTGATCTGTCATCCCTCCATCTTGCTGGTACCCTCTGCACCCCCCTCAGTGCCTCCAGTATCCATGGCTTTGCACAGGAGTGGGACAAACCCTGAGCATGGGACAGCCCTCCCCACCCCACAGCCTGGCACTGGAATACAGGAGATGCAGGGACACATTGATGGGGAGTACCCCAAAACACACCCCACTGTGTGCAGTCAGGGGGAGATTTCATCTTCCAGCTGGGCTCATTTCCCAGCCCCAAACTCCTCCTGGCCCTCACACTGAAGCACTGCACAGGCTCAAGGTTGGGGTTTTTTTCCCATCATTAATTGCAGTAAATCTGAGAAATATTTTTTTTTTTGGGGGGGGGAGTTGGTTTGTTGGTTTTTGTGATCTTTCAAAAATCAAGAGTAATAGGAGCACCTGGATTTGTGGGTTCTGCTTAAGGGGGTGGTGCCAGCTGTCCTGAGAAGTGATAAGCCTTGCTCCCAAATACCCAGGGGACCTGCCACCCCTCAGCACGTGGAGCATGCAGGCTCTGGCATCCCGCTGGGTCTGACCCTCTACCCTTTTCCCCACCCACCACCAGCAATACTTCATCCTCCTCATCATCACGGACGGGGTGATCAGCGACATGGACGAGACGAGGCACGCCGTGGTGCAGGCGTCCAAGCTGCCCATGTCCATCATCATCGTGGGGGTGGGCAACGCTGACTTCGCTGCCATGGAGTTCCTGGACGGGGACAGCCGGCTGCTGCACTCCTACACGGGCGAGGAGGCCGTGCGTGACATCGTCCAGTTCGTGCCCTTCCGGAATTTCCGCAACGTGAGTGTGGGCGGCGGGGAGGGGATCGCAGGGAGAAAGGGGGTGTCAAGCCTGGAAATGACCCTGGGAGTGGAACAACCCCCGTAGAGGCAAGAGGTACCTGCCTGTCTTACCATCCCTCAGTGATGCTCTGTCATTGCCCACGTAAATGGAATCAGTGCTCTGCATCTCTGTGGTTGGGCTCCACTGCAGCATCCCCACCCGGTCCTCCACCTCCTGTCACTGTCAGGCAGGTGGGAGCAAAATCAAGTGAATCTTAACAGGGTCTGGGTTCCCACAGCAAGCTGGGGCAGCACTGGGCTCACATCCCTCTCACCATGGTCCCCTTCAGGCCTCATCCATCACCTGTGATGTGCCACACACCAAGGGCTTAATCTGTGATGCCCTGCACCCCCCTGGTCCCTGTAGGAAGGGGCAATGCCAGGACTGGCCATGCACATGTCCCCTCTGTGGGATGGCCCATTGTGACCCGCCAGGAGCCAGCCCTGGGTGGGACACTGTTGCTGGCACGGGATTGCCCAAGGACGTGGAAAATCAGCCTGTGCTTGTCTCCCCCCTTTTTTCCAATTAATTGGCGTCTTTCTGTCCCACCTCCTGTTACTCACACCTGGTTTTTCTGACCTACCCAGAATGTTTTATTCCTCCCTACCAGTGAATTACCTCCTGTAGGGAAAGTGTAATACAGAATTTAACAATCCCAGGTGTATAAAACGCTGGCTGCCAGCAGACTCTAGGGAGTATTCAATCTGGAGTTGGGGACAACCCAGCCACGTTTGCTTGGTCGGTCCCCCACGGCTGTTCTAACGCTGGTGTTGGTTCCCTCTGGCCCGCAGGTCCCCAAGGAGACCCTGGCCAAAGCTGTGCTGGCAGAGCTGCCCCAGCAAGTCGTGCAGTACTTCAAGCACCAAAACCTGCCACCCATCAACTCGGAGCCTGCGTAGAGCCGGGCCGGGCCACTCCCTCTGCATGTCGCCGAAGCCTGTTGGTCCTACTGGAAGCGCATTCCACATGCTCTTAAGAGAAGAATACCCTCCCTGAAACACTTTGTACTTCTTAATTTAATTGCTAAGTTCTTAACACTCATCCCAGCGAAGCGTCTGGATTCGTTTTTGTACAGTCTTGGCCCCAGGTAACACTAAGCAGCCAGGCCAGGCCTCGGTCCTGCTCCGTTGAGTCACTTTTCAGTATTGAATGTACTTTGTAAAATTTCAGTGGAACAGGAGTCGATTTTTATGATCAAAAAACTTGCTTTTTCCAAGCAATGAAATGCTTAATATATTATTATCATTCAATGAACTGGTCGTTGTATAGTTCATGTATTTGTGTTGTACCTGTACATCCGTCAGGCTCTGTGTTCATTTTTATACTGTGTACTTGTTACATTTGTTATACTCAGGTTAATAAAGAAACTTGGACATTTAAAACAAAAGGTCTCCTAGATGGGAAGGTCTGGGAGCGGCTTAATGTGGTCAGCAGTGCTGGGTGTTTGGGAGTCACCCCAAATGGCCTGTTGTGGTCCCTCAGTCGCTCACTCTGCTCTGTGTTTCTGGGGGGATTTACTGAATGTGGATGTCCCAGGAAGGGCAGGGGCCTGGTGAGTGCACGCCCATGTGTGCTTGGGAAAACGCTGGTGAACCCACAATGAACCAGTAAAGGAAGTTTCATGGTTCGCTGTTGCCTCATCTCTAGAAATTTTGCCGAGTCTGAGCAACAAAAGCTCCCTCCTGCCTGGGCCGGGTAATGAAATCCGGCTCTCCAGCAGCTCCTTTGAGCTGCTCATCAGCAACGTGCTATCTTCAGTGCTAATTGCTGCTTTCTGCTGTTCTTAACTAGATTAAGGTCTTTTGAGGCTGAACATGCTGTTGAACGTCTGGCAGGGATCACCAGCCGTACTCCAAACTCGAGTAGATGTGACATCCCTTCTCCCCAGCAGAGGAAGCGCTTCAGGTGGGAGGTTGTGTCCCCGTGTGGAGCCTGCAGCCCTTGCACACACACACACACACACACAAACGTGCTACTGGCTGTGCTCTCTGCCACCAGCCACCACCAGAAAGTGTGGCTGTCACTGCTGCCCCCCAGGCACCAGCACAGACTGCCCCGGGCAGTCCCACAGCACCAGCTCAAAGCTGACGGTGCGGCCCCGAGTCGGCTCCAAGCAGGGTGAGACTCCATCCCTTGGGAGAGGTGGGACTGCTTCCTGAAACCTCTGCCTTGCAGAAAGGCCTTCCAAGGGAAAACAAACACCCAACACCACCCTTCTCCAAAGGGACAAGCAGCCCTTGAGGAGTGGCTTTTTTAAAATGATGCTGAATCCGGCTCAGCTTCCAGATCGAAGTCTGTGGCTTTGGAAAAATTACTGGGTTTGTGGTGGTGTGT